TCTTACTACATGCAGTACATTTTCCATATATGCTGCGTTCCCATTAGCTGAAAATGTAGACTGATGTTACTAGAAATCGTAAGCGGAACAGGGCTTTGGGCCTCATTGATGATTTTAAACTGAAACTTCGTTACAGGGGATTTCAATTCGTATTCCTCCACGATTAGTGAACTGAATTATTACGATTCAAGTTCATATTACCGTACTTGCTACAGAAAAGCCCACTCTACCTGTAAAAAGCTTCTTCATCCATTTGTTCGAGAGAGACGCAGCTACCTTTCTGATCCATCACTTTTCCATTCCTGATGTTGGTTAGAGGTTAGTCAGAAAAAATCGTTATTGAACCACAGAGTGCAGTGCACAGTTCGGTGCATCGGGCGAGATTCGAACTCGAGGCGCCCGCGTGGCAGGAGAGCATCTACCACTAAACCACTGACGCTCTAATTTAACCCACCCTTTACCACCAACGAACAAATAGCGCTCAGGCATATCTCAGAGCGCTTAAATACACCCAATACATGGCAACAACAATCCATCAAAAAATGTATAGCATAGCGTTGGGAAGTCGCGACACCGGGGTACAAATCTGGCCAAGCAACTCTTCTAATCCTCTGGGGCCGACGAATTAGAGTAGTATCAAACGCAGTGGGACTACTGATGCCATCAGGAAGTTGGTTACGATGTTGCAAACGTCGGCCGAGGCATTAGATGGCGACGTTCACCTGGGCTATTTGGATTCTAAATCTTAGTTTCGGCAGCGTCTTGGCTGTAAATCTGGCACAGGTCTACTAAGTGGAGAGTACTGGTGTTATGATCGATTGTGCCTTTGGGGAAGTGATTCCTCGGGTATTGGACGGAAAGGGCTGACCTATTCTGCAGTACTTCAGGAATGGATGTCAATGACATTGGCTGAAATGCAGTGTACGCCTTTCATTCTGCTGCTATTACTGCTCACCACGAACCAATCATGGCCACAGTTCGCCACCTGAAGAGGAGCTATCCACAAAGGCGACGGTCATCACTATAAAAAAGCCTCTCTTGCCCCTACGGGCGCGCTCTTTGAAACCGAAGTGTCAGGTTAAGTCTTCTCGCGGCCTAGCCTACCTCCTTGCGCAGTGGACGGTTTCCTTCTTCACTTTATCAGCTCCGTATTATTTGCTCATTTCACGTGCACATTTTCACACATAGTAAGGTCAATATCGAGGATAAGTTCTACAGTAATTTGTTGCAGCTCTGGTGGCATTTACTGGTTCTCTATTGTTTTCAATCTTCAGCTGGTCAGCTTACCCCATGCCGTGTAGATACCCAACCTCCACCTGACCACCCACACAACCAGGTGATATTATCACACTCGATACAAACCACTGAGACTGTGGTCTTGTGACGTGATTCCATCACTTCACAGGCTTCACATAATCTCAGATCAACATAGCATAGGGCCTACAGCGCTCAAGGGCATGTTTTGCAATAATCGAAGGTGGGTGTGGTGTTCTGTTATACGTATAGAGGATTGGGCAAAAACGGAAAACAAGTAATCGAAACTGTTGAACATGATTTTATTGAGAGTGCCCCCTTTCCCTCTTCCCTCCCGCCCCCTAAGCAGTCAAAGGAAGATCCTAAGAAGAGGACGAAGGTCGAGCAAGTGGAAACATACCTGGTGGAAGGCAGGCGGACCTTTTAATTGTACGGATCAGCACGCAATTTGTAGCGAAGAGGGACGATAGACCATGGCCCTCTTCGCGGCGCTAGCAGCGCGTCACACTCACTGACTGGCTAACCACTCGCTGCTGGTTCCCAGCTTCTAGAGAGCGAGTTAGGGTTGAATAAGGCAGCAGTGATGACGGTCCCATCAATGCGGAGAGTAACGGGCAGAAGAGGTTCCAATTTCTTAATTGCTTTGCGATTTCTCTAGTTTTTTTTTTCTTCTTGATCCCAACACCACAGGTCGCCTTTATATTAACTCTAAAGGGCTGACATCTGATCGAAAACTCTAATTTCGAAGATTATCGAAGCCTACAAAAAAGCACTGGACGTTGGAACGGTGGGTGAGACATCCTGCAGTAGAAAGCTTACTAGACGATAGTCCAAAGATCAAAGATCATCCTGGATCGTAGGCCGTAAGGCAGTACGACCTTTCATCCCTCCAATAGTTGGCTCTAAATCGTTTAGAAGTATAGATAATCTTGTTTGACTCGGCTATCTCCCGCAATCCATTGTATCGGCCAAATCGCATTTGAAATGCCACTACAACTTCAAATGGAAGTAAAATGTTAGGCGCATCCAGGACAGGGATCGACCAACGTCAAATGTGTTATTATTATGCCTTATGCTTACACTTTGACCACCATCTCCTTCATGAAAAAAATGCTGCCAGTCCTAATCGCCGAACGTCCTTCTGAAGAGGAATGGGTAATGGTTAGAGGCGCTGCGCTCCATGTGCTAGTGCAAGATCGAATCCGGCTTGATAGGGTAGACCTCTCACTCCCAGTGCTTTTCATCTTTATAGTAAGAGAGTAAAGCGATTGATGTACCCTCGCGTTCAAAACCAGAAAATGTCGGCTGCAGACCATGCATCATAACTGATGACGTGGCGTTGTCAACTGCCACGCTTTCGCGGCCGTCGTCAGTTGTGGTACATGGTCTGCAACCGACACTTTCTGGCTTTTCGAAGGCGAGGGTACGTCGATCCGACCAGCAGAAGTAATTACTTCGTAGTTTTGCTTTCAAGTGAAAGCAGGATTTTGACGGTGCAAAGGACTTAACCTTGCAGTGCTTCTCTGAGCATAAATACTTGAGAAATTGCATTGCCCTTTCTGACGATTTTTTGCAATGTACGTGACATTGCCCATCGATTTAAGCTATTATCCAAAAAAAGTCAACGACAGGCTCTATCGAGGACACTCAGGGAATGCCGAATCAGGCAAATTCCCTTGTGAGTACCATTCCTATGAATTCGAGTGATCCCGCCAAGGCTTGGCGAGCGCCTCCTCCTTGAACGAGAGTTAAGAACCGCATAGCAGATCATGTGGTGTTGGGCGTTTCTGAGCAGGGTCAACCGTCCGCAATATTCGAATGAGGAGGTTGCATTCGTTGCTTTGGGAAGGAGGTCCCATTTGGTTAAGCAAGGCCATCATAGTGGGACCAGATGTTGAGGTGGTTAGAAGTGACTTGGGCGAGGTTTTTTGTTGATTCGAAGGAAGTGAGAATCGGGCTCAATTACGGTGGATCTGCCGCTTCATGATACTAGTATACCAACTCCCCCATGATAGTAAGGGTGGTGGTCGGAAAAGAAGAAAGGGTGATCGTATTAGGGAGCCTGGCTCTGTACAAGTGGGGTGGGTACGCCGAGCTTTTCACGCATGCCAAGTGGCGGCCTTCACCCCCCACCCCAAGATTGGCTGCACTCCCCTGGCTCACAAATTCCCCGATTCTCGTGGCACTTGAGTAACGAACAGCAGTATCACTTACATACTTTTCGCGCCTGCAGTGTGCAACAGATGCGGTGTGCCTACCCTACTTACACACAGCGCACCGGAAGCCTTCTAAGACTTATAGTGGTGCTGAAAGGTCTCATCGAGATCCCTTCGAGAGGGAAGGGTGCAAAATTTCTGAAAAAGTGCGAACGTGACGGCTTACCCTGATCTAATCTCAATTTTGTTCTATAATAACAATGTTCAAGCCATAGATCATATGTGGACAGATGTGGGAGACTATGTGGGACTATGTGGGATATTTTCCCAACTTTCACATCTTATGAACGCAGCCCTCTTTTGTATAAACGAAGGCTGTCTTCAGAAACTATAGATCCATATTGTATTGCATGATCACAGTTATAGTATCCATTAGGGGTTCCCCGACAGGGGTCATCACGACGGGGACACCGCTGAAGTGTGCATTTCCCGTGTTTTTGAAATGGATTGGCAACTTTCGGAGGATTCTGCGCATTTCACTGTTCACAATAGGACAGGGGTCACATTACAAGACATTCCTTGTGACATGCCCGATCTCCCGGGCTCAATGTCACCCACAAGCGTGGGATGCATTTTCATTGAAGTTTATCTTTGATACCTTTTTGTTCCCATTAACTTCTTGTTCTTTAATTACTGCGTGGGATGAAGGAGACGTTATGCTTCCAACAGGGTGAAATTCGCTCGAAGAAACGGCAGCAGCTCGTCGAGGATTTTGGCCTGTTCTTTCACGCTCTCCCGCGCTTAGATTCACTCTCCCCACCCGTGAGTCGTCTTTGTCCTCCGCGCGTACATTGAATCTCGCCACTACTCTCGCACAGCAGGGAGCCGTGGTTGAGAAATTCCTCGATCGTTATTCACAATGGCCTAGAAGGCCATATGGCATCAATCAGGGTGTAATATTGAATCTGAGCCCCGTCCTCTCATCTTGAGCAATTGCGGGAAATATCTGAGGGTAAAAACCCAGAACATGAGCAAAAGAAGGCGTTGCAAAAACGAATATGCCCACAGTCCAACTCGAACGCGTTCGCGATTTTAGCAGACATGTATGCGTGAGACATATCCAGGATTCATCACCTTTATCAGCTTCACTTTTTCGTGCTCATCGTTAACCCTTCAGTGAAATCTGACAATTAGATACGTCAGCAGGAGATCTAATTCCCTGGCAGCTCGCTATTGAACCATGTGGCGGTTCCACTGCAGCACGTTCCACATCTGACATCATTCGCAGCTGGCAGTCGGGTTTGTTGCGGAAGTTCACAGAATCTACGGCCAAAAATGTTTGAAAATAAAAAAGAGTGACGAAGCACCTGCAGAGAAGGGGAGGGAAACTGTTAAGCGGAAAATTAACTGGGAAGGCATTAGCGGCCTTCACAGAACGAGCAAAGGGATTACGAGCGTGGGACAAACGAAGCCTACAGACTTCCTCAGAAGTAGGCTTTAAGGCTTCCGCAACAGCATCATTACGATAATCATCTGCCTCCTGGGAATGCTCTTATCTTTTTCCTTCTAATACCCATTTCCCCGATTCTTTCCCATCCCTTGGCCAGCATTTTTGATGAGCACAGCCTTTCTCCGAATTACTAGGATTTTCATGTGCATGTGGTGAGACTATATGGTTTCCCTAAAATGTACACTATTTAATACACCGAGTGGACAGAGTGGAAGTGGGGGCTGAAAATACGGACGGACTGATATTTCTGATGACCAGGAGCCCCGCTTTTCAAGGGCATGTGTGTAGTCCCTGCCAAGGTCACATAATCCTGAAACAATTCTTGATGGATGAGTGGTGTCTTATTCGGTTCCCCTTACAGGTAGCCATATCGGTTGTGATCGATCATGCATCACGGAAAACGATAGATGTAGGTTTTTGTGGGTAACTGCTGTTTTGGCCGCAGTTCACCTAGCGAATGTTTCATAAGAATACTTGCCCGGTAAGCAAGAGGTGCAGGTTCAATTTCCATCTGGGGCA